AGTGTGGCTCCCAAATTATTTTAGAAGAAGAGTTTAAAGAAAATGTACCTGTACCTATCTGTGTGTATACAAAAAATATCAGGGATAGATCATACTTAGTAGAATATATATGAAAATAAGTAGAAAAATATTCAAAATAAAGGGTGCATGATATGGAGAAGCATCAACACTACAAAAGTTCTCAGAGGAGTGATTTACCCAGGTGAGAGGAATTGGGAATATTTCCTATAGTAGATGCCATTTAAACATGATCTTGCTAAATGGAAGAACTTTGCAGTCAAAGGGGAGATGGGACAATTATAGTAAAGAAAATAGCAGAGTAAAGGGCAGGAGATGATTTATAGTGTAAAATTATGTAGCAAAGAGCTAGAAAATCAGATTAGTGTTTCTGGGTGCTAAAAGAGTAGAGCCAAAAATAAAGGAGAAAAGGTTAAGTTATAAATTATGAATATCCTTTTCAAATAATGGACCTCTGGGCCCTCTCTAAACATACTGAGATTATCAGGGGAAAGCATCTGAGAAACTCCCAGTCTGATCGGGTCTTTTCTTATTCTCTTTACTCAAGAAATTATTATCCCCTAGGTACCAGCTCTAGAATAAATAAAAAAAGAGTCCAGCTGATATTCTTGGAGTTAGACCCAAATTACATCGAAGATATTTATCTTCTATCCTTTACTTCCCAGGCATCAGCATCTTTGAGAAGCTGCATTTTAAGTTACTTACCTGCTGATGTTAGTTGACAATACATTTGAGATTACAGAGCAAAAACATATACTGGTAGTCAGATACCAGTGCATCACCACATATACTGAATTTTCAGCTCTGCCTTTGATGTCGGTGGCCCCACGGGTGACTTATGTGAAGTGGGGAGGAGAAAGACAATCACTTTCTCCCCACCCGCCTCTGCCACCCGGAACCCTGGGTGGGCTAGGACTGGTAAAGTCTGCAGTGAGCACCTGCTCGGCACAGGCCTGAGCCCCGCCAGCCCCACGAGGTGGCCGTTAAGCCACACCTGAAGTCCGCTTGATCTTCTCGGCACGGGAGTTAATCCCCACCACCCGATTACTCGGGGAGCCACGGACTCAAGCTGGGGCGAGAATTTGCTCTTTGCAGGAAAGGAGAGACCAGTCCCAAGCCGTACCCGAGGTTTCTGGGGTTCTTGTCTCGCTCGCAGAAAAGAATTTCAGGAGTAGACGAGCAGTGAAGTAACAGGTTTTATTTGGAGGCTTTTGGAGAGGGAGAGGAAGGGATAAGCAGATAAGCGGGGGAATGGAGAGTAAAAGAGAGAGAGTAACGCGTCCAGAGGGAACGCGGGCTTCTCCGAGGGTGGAGAGAGCGCCAAGTGGGTTCTCGAGCTGGTTCTTATAGATCCTTCTGACTCAGAAGGTTCTGGAATCTCCTTGGGGCTGAGTCGCTGGAGTCAACCGGATTGAAAGGGGGTTCGAGAATCATCTGACTTGAAATGTCCTGGAATCTCCTTGGGGCTGGGTCGCTGGAGTTAACCGGATTGAAAAGGGGTTCGAGAATCATCTGACTTGGAATGTCCTGGAATCACCTTGGGGCTGGGTCGCTGGAGTCAACTGGATTGAAAGGGGGGTTCTCGGAAAGGAGGAATTTCATGGGGAAGAGGCCCATATCTTCAGGGTCTGGGGATGGTCTTATCAAGTCCTTATTCTCTGTCTCCACAGGGTGGGTTGGTCCTAGAATTCTTCTATGAGACTTTGTTTCATTGCAGAGAGCCTTTCCCTATCTACCTGCCTACATCACCTTGAAATTGATCAAAACAGAATAGTCCTGGAGCTTCTAGACAGTGAGGTCCGAGATTCTCAGATACACTGATCTGGACATCTGGTATCAACTTAAAACCAAAATTGGATATGAAGAGCTAATGACAAATGCTCAGCTAATGCTTTTATGTTCTTTATTCCAGACTTGTAATCTGCTTCTTGTGCTCGAGTAGTTATTTTTTTTTTCATTTTAGAGGTTTTATATATACTTTCCCTCTGCCTGGAACATTCTTTCCTTCTTCCTGATGCTCCCCAAAACAACTAATGCTATTCACCTTTAGGAAAAATTTCTGTTTGTTTCTCCTATAAAATAGCCCTGAATTTAACTTCCACTTTATATATATCATAAAATAACTTCTTTACTACTTTCTCTCTCTCCAATGCTTAGCTCAGTGCCAGGGACAGACCTGCATTTAAGATAGCAAATGCATGCATAATGACTACTACCAAATAGTATCACTGTTCAAGGGAATGCTGTTCTAAAGAAAAAAATAAAAATTAGTTTTTAGAGGTATAAAGACATGATATTTTAATGGTCATGACTGAATGATAAGTTTAAACTTTACTACATAAATGTGAAAACAACTCTCTAGAATTCAGGATTCAGTTAATAAACTGAATAAAACAACATCACCTTGACATTTACAGTTATTTAACTGTCAAGTTACAGCTGATCTTATTTCAATATGAAAATTATCTGATTAATTAAATGTTCTCTTAACTTTCTAAATCAATTATTGAACTTTTAGTATTCATCTTTTTATAACTGAAGATTAGAGTTTATAATCAAGTGATTGTAAATTGAGTAAACTATATTTGTTGTAAGACCATATGGAGAAGTTCAATATTAAGTGATACGGGACTAGCTAAACAAATGTTACATAATCTTGATGAAATATTATTTTGTACTTTTAAGCAGATTGTCATACAGACTACTCAGTTGCATAAAAATGGCTTAAAATGCAAGTGATTTTTAAAAACTCAGAACACAATATTGAAATGTAGAATAGTCATGGATCTGGAGAGTAAAACAAAGCATGCAAATACATTATTAAGTACTATGCAATGTAAATTTAGGGGAGAATTTTAATTATTCTTACAATAGTCAGAGTTATAGGTACATTAGATGCCAATTATAAAATATAGATTAATTCTCAAAATTTTATTAGAAAATAAAACAGTTAAATGTACATGCTGTAATTGTTTTTCATTTATATTTTCTGCAAATTAAAACCAGCTTATTACTGAAAAATATCTTACGTTGATGTTTACCTGACAATGTACTATTTGTTCTAAACTCAAAGTTTCTTATTATATAGAAATGCATTTAGTTGTTTGATAAACCATATCAGAAGAATACTATAGATAAAAATGAACACATCCTAATTTTCTACTTTATCATTTTGAGTTTTACAAGATGTTCCATTGGGGGTATGGTGCCGCCAGCAGGTCAGTCTGTACCGGTGAGGCGAATGCATCAGCAGCCTGATGGTACCTTCAGACTTCCAGATAACCCAAAACTGCTGCTGTGCCTTTGGCCAGACCCTCAAAACTTAGGGCAAACTTTACCAAGAAAGTAAATGGCCAAAAGTTAGGTATGTGGGAGACATACCCACAAACCACCTCGGGCTCAGCTATATAATTGGAGGCATGGCCTCTCTGATTCTTGATCGAACTGCTTAACGGCTATGATCCCAGAGACTCAGAAACAAATCTTGAAACCCAGCGGCTTTTGGAAGAAATGCGCCCGGTCCCTGCAGTAGGTTACCAGCTCTGGGTCAACCCAGGTGGGAATAGGTTTTGTACCTTGGCCTATTCCCCCTGTCTGCCTGGTGACCGCCATCCTCCAGAGGCCACTGGACAGTCAGGTTTGAACCCGCAGTGGCGAGACATGAGGGGACTCGGGATGGGGATGGAGCCTGCCCTTTCCTCCCCACCCCAATGAGACCCTGAGTCGCTGCCCATGAACAGCCTCTCTGGCTCCTGATCAAGCTGCTTAATGGCCATGATCCCAGAGACTCAGAAAGAAATCTTGAAACCCAGCGGCTTTTGGCAGAAATTCATCTGGACCCCGCAGTAGATTACTGTCGCTGACCCAGCCCAGGGGGGAAAGGGTGCTCTCCCTCACCTTCTCCCCCTTGGCAGCTCGGTGGCCGCCATCCGCCAGAGGCCATGGACAGTCAGGTTTGGGCCCTCAGTGATGAGACATGTGGGGCGTCACGGGATGGGGGTGGAGCCACGCCTTTCTTCCCCACCCCAACAAGACCCCGAGTCGCCTCCCATGAACGGCCTTTTTGGCTTCTGATCAAGCTGCTTAATGACCATGGTCCCAGAGACTCAGAAACAAATCTCAGAACTCAGTTGGTTTTGGCAGAAATCCCTCCAGATTTAAGTGTTAAAATTTCAGAATTTCAAAATCGTGCGGACACTACAGCAGCCATGCGACATCATATGTTATTCTTAATCAGCAATAGAAAACAAATTGTCTACTGTTGACTTTTCAGCAGATCTGACCCACCAAATAATAATGGTGGATCTGGTGTCAAAATATTGAATGTGATCAAAGTAGAGAGAGAGTAATGTGGAAATCATCTGCCCCACTGGTTGGGGGAGGGTGTGGGTTGGGGGTGTACTGCGGTTTTCGGTGGTGGAGAATGGGCACTGGTGATGGTATGGGTGTTTCATTGTATGGACGAAACTTAAACTGCTCTCACAGTGATTCAATAAATAAAATTATAAAAAATGAAAAGAAAAGTAAAGTGGAGTTCATGCCCAATTCAATCAGCTAATCAGTGACTGAATAAAGAGCAGTACTCCTACATTAAAAAAAAAGAGAGAGATGTTTCCTTCCATTATTTTTTGTAGGTATCAAATCTTTACCACAGACAAATGTTTTATGCAGTTTTTCATATTTCATAATTATAAAGCTTTTCCTATTTTAGACTGATCATTTCAACTGCTGAATAAAGGGAAAATTTCTTAAAAGCAAAAAAAAAAAAAAATTAAGGCCCCTTGAATTCTTACAGTGCCAGGAAAAACTTGCTTATTTTTTGCGGACCTTCATTTGTCTGCTGACAATATGTTTTAAGCTTTGCTCACAAGACTGTTATCACCTTATTTCCATTTAAGTAGTAAGATGATAACATCAAATGTTATGAGAACTAGTTTTAGATGACAGTCACATCATTTAATGCTTATTTATTGTTTCTACAGGGCAATTCTGGCCTGGGATTCAGTATTGCTGGAGGGACAGATAATCCCCACATTGGAGATGACCCTGGCATATTTATTACGAAGATTATACCAGGAGGTGCAGCAGCTGAGGATGGCAGGCTCAGGTAAAGATATGAAGTGTTAGAATTATATTAGAACCAAATCCGTCACATCAGTGAAACAGGTTTCTACATTTGGAGAATAATGATTCCACCAAATTTCTGTATTTGAAAGAGACAGATGTCAAAGAAAGTTTTTTTGACTGTAGGTTGCTTAGTATTAAATTTCAATTGATATTTATTTTGTTGTGTTGATGGGCTACAAAATTCAACTTTGAGAGGAAAATACATGGATTTATCTTTTATTCTGAAGGCTTTCAGTAATGGAAAGAATATTGTGAACTGATGAATATATAAATTAAATGTATATAAGATAACTTGCTGCAAATCACATTAACAAATACCGGTGTTATTGAGGCTGATTCATATGCTCAACAACCATTTATGAGGGCTTCTGTAGAAATTAGAGTAGAACAAAAGTTTGCTGCAACACGGATGCAACTAGAGAGGAAACAGATCAGAATGATTGCTCTCATATGTGGGCTTTAAGAAATAGTAAGGGAACAACTAAGAGACAAAAAAAAGCAACAAAACTGGAGAATTAGTCCACCAACTAGTTTCTGGGTAAGATATGGTGTATGGGTAGAACAGAAGGATTTTATGGGATCTTGATGGAGGAAAATATGTACTCCAGTGATGGGTGTGGGTGTTAGAAAGATCTCTTCATGAAACCACCATTAACAATATTGTGAACCCCAGTACTCCAAGATTTTTTAAAAGACTCAAAAAAACTACTCTATAGGGATATTACAATATGAATCTCAAATAGTTATTAAATTTTCACCCATCTCACATATCTGCATGAGAGCACAGAAGGAGAATGAGCAAGTTGTCCCGGTGAAGAGAAAAGGCTCCTTGAGGTGTATAGACAATGTCTGCCCAAGCCAAGCAGAGCCAGATACTGCTCAGGTTAAAGTGGTTGTTGGAGCCAAAGCCCTTTTATTTAAAGAACTAAACATTGTTTTGGAGAAAGTAAGAGCTCCCCACACAAGGCAATTAGTAAAAATACAAAATTCATCCAAAGATTAAGTACAAGTCAAAGGACCCTATGGATTGCAAAAATTAGGAGAGATTGCCCTGGGGAGAAAAACAAATCCTAGTGTTATTTTAGCACCTCTCCTAAACTGTACACCCCTTCAGGCCAGCTGCTATAGATAGAAATGGTTCAATAGATTCTTTCTGAATGAATAAGTATTTGAGTGAATGAATAAAGGGAGAAGAGAGAGGAGGGCAAATTAATGAGTAGGGCAAGGTCAGGGAAGATGAACAGAGTCCCACACAGAAGAATGACTCGAGCTTCGTTGTGACCTAAAATGGCAGAAAGGTAAGCCTCATAGCCTTCCTCAATCTGATTTTTTCATTAAGCATAAATAGGCTAGTGTCCTGTTTTCCTTGTAAAACTGCCAAGCATGCTGGTTTCCTGTCCAGTTTTCTCAGTTTTCTCAAGTGATTGATCTTGACAGCGGTGGAGAAGAAGCACATTTTCCCGCAGATACATCTGCATCTCCTATCGATAAGAAAATAGACTAATGGCAATATCACAGGAAGCACATGCCTTTTAACAATAGAATTTTCAAGCTAAATTGACTAAATTAATTTCTGAATGAGGAAATATCCATGCTGCAAGAGTGAATGAATTGAAGTAGATGTGCTGAGTGGTTCTACAAACAGGGGCGCTGTTTGCGAACATAAAAGCCTGGAAGAGCTCCATTTTATTAGTTTATAAATAGAATTTTATAGAATAATTCAGAATCATGTTTTCTGTATCTCTCTTAATGAAGTAGCAGATCTTAACTAAATTATGGCTTCAAGACTGAGCCAAAGCAGATTTTCTATTTTGTGCCGACCCTAGAGTTCAGAAAGACAAATATCACCTCAGACAATGTCACCATTCTTTGCCTGCAAGCATCAATCTCAGGCTTGCAATGGTCAAAGAAATTCTATTGTCCTGGAAGCTTCCTTAAAGAGTTTTAAAGACAGGAATCAAAATGATAGCTAAAACGTATTGTGCCTCTATGTTAGTAGTTGATATATATGTATGTATATTTATGTGGAATTGTAGGTAGATATGGAGATAATGTGTAGATGTGCATACACTAATACATAATTTTCTTATTTTACTTTTTTTCCCCTTTATTTTCTATGATGTTATGAACAACGGGAAGGCCTTTACCTTTTTTTAACTTTACCTTCTATGATGTACACCTGAGTGAGTGCAAACAGGAGCCAAAGGAGATAGAGCAGACAGTAGAGAGAGGAGAAAGGGAGAGAAGGGGTGGGGCTGGGGGAAAGAACAAAAGGGAAAAGGGAAAGAGGGAGAGGGAGAGAAGAGAAAGGACTGAGGAGAGAGGTGAGAGGCAGAGAGGGGAGAGAAGAAAGGAGAAAGAGGGAGAGGAGAGAGCGGAGAGATATGAAATAAGATATGGAGGGAGGAAGCAGGAAGAGAGGAGAGAGGGAGAGATGTGGGAGAGGGAGAGAAGAGAGAGGAGAAAGGGGAAAAGGTCAGAGAGGAAGAGAGTTAGAAAGGAGTGAGGAGAGAGGGAGAGAGAAGAGAAAAGAGGGAGGAAGGAAAGCGAGGAAGAGGAGAGAGAGGGAAAGTGCACAATTGTCTGTACATTGTACGTCCATATGAAGTGGATACTATTATGGCTATAATGTCAGAGATAGAAGAATCTAAGACTTACAGGATTTTCAAAGATAACCCAGATATTTTTGAAAGTATTTGTTTTGAATATCAATTTCATAACTCTCTAAATTCTCATTCAGTGGTAGAATCTCTATATAATTTTGTCTCCATCCAAAAGTGAGTTTGCACAATGATAAAGGAAACTCTAAAACTTGGAACGGTTGTTATTTTTCTATTGATGACTATTCTAATCTCTACACTTTTGTCTTTGTTCTGTTTTTGAGAACTAGGAATATGTCTTATGATTGCGTATGCAAATTATCAGCTCCTAAAATTATGTAACACTTAGCCTGCAAACTAAAACACGATCCAAACTTGAACCACCAAGTATATTTACTTCCCGATCCTCACCACAGACTTTCACCGATATAAAGCCACCTCTTGGATCAGTCTCTGCTTTATTTTCATAAATCCTTGTTATAACTGCTAAGATTTTCACCACATACTGCTCCCTGACATCGATTTCCGTGACTTTAAAGAGCTCAATAATAACAATCAGTTTAAAATCTGGAGATCAAACATGAAGGATAAAATTTAATAATGTGGACATTTAGCTACTTCAAAGACCTCACGTGTCACATTTTACTGATGTGTAACCTGGGTTCAGAAGACTGAGATTTTGTTTTAATTGTAATACAAATACTTTGACTCAAGTGAGTAATTAAGATCCTTAGGAACCGGAAAGAGGCAATAAAAATCCATGTCCATACAAAAAACGTTTTCCAAAATGTGCTAGAACAACTACTTGAGACTAGATCAATAAAATATGAGGTATGCTCTTTTAAAAATCTCATAATCCTTGTAGATGTAAGGGTAGCACTTTACATTAGGCACTGGAAATTTGGATATTCTAATAACTTTAATGTAATATAGTTGGTGTTGGAAAATTTAAACTCTTTTAGTTACTGTTTTCTTATCTGCAAAAGTATAACAGTAAAACCTACCTCTTTGAGGTGTCTGAAAATTGATTAAGGTGACTAAAGTTTGTGGCACATAGTATGTGCTCAATAAATCTTATTAATGTTTTAATCGGTTTGTAACCTCTTCCTTTTCTTAGTACTTTCCTCTGCTTTTTGCCTCTGCTGCTTCCTCTTCTCTATGCTATTCTAGTCACGTTCTTCTCATGCTTTATACCTCATCTTTATTCTCCTTTCTTCCTCTGCATCCTCCCCTTGCCTCTTATTAACATCCTTTCATATCCAGGGGTATGACTGTGATCTAGAGTTAGGGACAGAGCCAGATCTCTAAAAAATGTGAAAGGAGGGCTAAGTTAAAAGGTCAGACAAGAGAGTATATGGTGGTTTTTCTCTGGACAAGAATTTTTTTCTGATTGGTCTCTTTTTAAATGCAGTAATTTATTATGAATATTATTTCATTGTTGTTTGAACAATTAAATATGTTGTTTGGGTATTGTTTAATTGTTAACTGCCCTTTGTAGAATAGCTATAATATGTACACTGGTAGACAACAACTAAGCAAAATTAGCACATGTGGGATTTATTTTGCTATTTTGTTTTCAAGGTATTTTAGAAATGCTTTGTACAACACTTGACATTTATTTAGCTCGAAATAGCTTGATTTAAAATCTTGTAAGTGGCATTTAATAGAAAAATTACAAATGTTTTAAATGTTTAATAATATATTTACTATTTTCATTGTTAAGTTATTTTTTAACATTTTATATAACTGCTAATCTTTTAAAAGATGTTGTTGACCCTATTTTCTATTATTTTCTTTGCATACATTTCTAGTAGTAAATTTATAGATTAAAAATATATAAATATTACCAAGTAATTTCAACACATATCACAAAATTCCTTTCCAGAAAGATTAATATCAAGTTTTATTTCCACTAACAGTATTAGAGGTGAACTGTTTCACAGCATGTTATTGGCAGAACTCAAGCTCGTATCTATGCAATTTTGAACTGTTTACCAAGATAAGTAGTGAAATATTTCCTTGATTTATTTTATTAGCAATGTATGAACTTAAAATACAGATGATTAATTTTCATTTTGCCTCCTAGAACTAGTGATTAAAATGATGATAGCATTACCTATCTTTAAAGTAAGAACAATTTGGAAAGAACAGTAGATTTTTATTTTTCTAGAACCAAACAGATATATTTCCATGCTTTGAAGAATGACTTTTATTTCTACTCTCGTATTGAACCATAAAAATGCCCTGGCTTCAGTTCCCTGAGTTGTCAACGACCAATATTGATCTGTCATCCTAGAGAAGAGCTATCACATGACAGCCTCCGCTTGGTGATGCAGCAATGACATTTCTCAAAACTCTGCATTTATTAAACCCATCCCAT